TAAATTTTATATATATATATATATATACATATTTATGTATGATGACATAATTTTTTTTTAAAGAATGAGCATTCGCGCTATGTATATTTTAACTTTCATATATATCTTAACTTAGCTGTAATATCTCCAGTGTTCTAAAAGAGAGACGAAAGATTATTAAAATTAGAAATTGAAATTAGAATTTGTACTATCAATCTACACTGGTGTGATAGTTGGTCAATTAATGTCGTTAACAATGTCGATATATATAGTCGATAGATTATTGATTTATACGCCATGAGATTCATATACTTACCGGATTTTCTCTATTCCAACGATAGTATAAGTCTGATCTTTTTAGTCCCAATATTTAATTGCGACTCAAAATACCACAAGAAAGTTTTCAAAAAATTAAGTAAAAAGAATTATTCATAAATTTTTATTATTATATGTCTAGTTTAGATGGTCACTTGTGAACGCGTTGAAGTAAATGTTCATCAGCGCTTACTGATATAGGTATTATATCGCAAGCGTGATCGACTCGTTGACATTGACATGTAAAGCCATCCAAACATAGTCTATAATTGGCCATATTTAAACTTATTATCTAAATAATTACTGCTTAAAACGAAACTTTACAAATATCTTTTCTATTTAATTTTTCGAGAACTCTAACATCTTGCTACAGTACTTTAAGTCACAAATTTTGGGACACCCTATATATATATATATGAGCAAAATTTTTCTTGGAAAAAACGTTTTGGAATGTAGCCCTATAGATAATAATTTAGCATTAAGTAGGCTTAAGTTTTATTCTACCAATGAAATAACTGAGTAATGTCTCGGGATTCTATATTTAAGATCATACGTATTCAAAAGAGTGAGTGAGTGAAACAGAGTGAGAGATATTAGTTCGTTTTTTATTAAATACATTTTAATTTTAAGTAGACGCGCAACAGGTACTTCTAAAATTTTAATTCCCTTTAATAGGCATAAAAATTGATATGTAAGGAAACAAAAAAAGGAATCTCGTTTTTTAGTTTTTAAGAGAATTGAAGAGAATTAAGACTTTAAAAAATGGAGTAACAATTTTGGGCTGCTCTTTGCACCACATGATTATAAATTTAAAAATTGTGGACCTTTTGGAAGAGAGATGTGTATATTTGTGAAGGTGGGGGTATTATTCGCGATAGCAAGTTTGTATCGGTTTAGTCTTGGTCTGTCTTGCTCTCAGCTTCGTTCTAGCCGGATTCACGGAAATGAGTGAGACTTGTACAGGCTGATAAAAGTTTAGTAAACGTTTTTACTGTTAAGGAGATTTTATTGCCAGGTAAAGATTTGAGAATAATTAAACAAGTGAGGATACTGATATCGAACGTGGACAACTTTACTCAAAATAGAATAAATTCTTATTAATCCGCTTCGTCACATCCCCATTTTGCGCAACTTCTTTCATTATTTTAATTGCAATTGTTTTGTATTGTGAAATTTTTATAACACATTTCCAAGTTACGATATGTGTGCAACTCCCTGCGTGACAATACAAGTATGAATAAATTCTGCTATTTTGTAACAGCAAATATATAAATAGCTAATTGCGAATGTCGTGTGTACTCCCAGCGGAAGATAAAGACAGACGGATGTTAGAACGGTGGATTGGAAAAGCAAAAGACGACTATCGAACATGACGCTGGAGCTATATTCACGAAGATTTCTCGTGAAAAAAGTTGAAAATTCTTTGCAGACCAGGCTAATTAAACAAAGCCGTGACATAAATTAGCAAGACGATCATATCGATCACATAATTGTCGCCGACTTTATACATACAAATCAAGAAATGACAACTCTATATGAATGACAAAATCGTGCATCATCCCAACTAACGGATACATCGCACCCCGAGGCATTTAAAAACCCTCCAGATTATCACATGTCTTCATTAAAGATTTAATCTATTTATTAGATATTTTCAACATCGCGCAACAGGAGCAAAATAATTGAATCGTGAAAAACGTACGAAATTATTAGGTGCGCGACTAAGTTCTCGCTGTTATTTTGATGCATTTCCATCAAAATAACAGCGAGAACTTAGTTGCGCACCTGATAAATTGATACTCGTACGTTTATCTGTGAATGATGAAGTCGTGAATCACGGACGGAGGCGGTGCGATTTTCTCAATTTCCCGATTTCGGCGGGAAGCAGCGTAGCCCACGAGCGTAGTCCATCTAACGATGAAACGCAATTTCGAAGATGCGGGAGGCAAGGGTGACTGCGTGCTTCCTGGGACGAGAAGATCGATAGAACACATGCGCGCCCGACCACGTCGCGACGCGCACGAGTTCCCTACGCAATCTGTGTTGCAAACGTCCGCCTCGGAGTTGTGCGTTTTTTTTCGCGAGGTGCGGTCAGGTGCTTTGTGACGATTGTGACGCTTGTCGACGCCGATCAAGTCGTACGTACCGTCGATGAAACTGCGCGAAACGCGTAAGCTTCCTATCAGCGCCATCGAAACATCTCGTATCATCGTCCCGCCCGCGCCGCGACGGAATTAATACCTACGCGCACACTGACCTAGAAACGCTAAACTTCACGGGACGTCATCGTTGACATCGTTGTTTCTCCCTGATAACGGATCCGGTGAGTCGATTTTTTTTCGGCTGGCCTGTTAATAGACGACGTACATAGTTGGCTGGGAATAATTGCGATTAAAGTCATTCTAACAGAAGGTAATAATAAATCGGTAGTGGGGGGGACGATTCATGTAGAACGCGTCTCAGAATTTGACACCTGTGATCGCAATGCTATTATTCCTCAATCGGCACATTATACACTGACCGGCACCGATCACGCTAATTACGTTAACGCGCGACACTCGTAATCTCTATTTATAACCGTGAAATAATATTATGCCTGTAGCGTTTTCTCGCGCACACGCTCTGTTATTTCGACATACATTCACGCGCACATCTTTTACATTTTTCATTTTATCTGTGTCTGTCATTCCTTTGCCTATCTAGACGCATTTATACAATCGCAATATTACTGCACAAATATTTCGAGAAATTACGTAAATACTTACGGAATTTATATACATGCAGTGTCTGTGAAAACATTGTTAAATATTATAAAATTATTATTAAATGTTATATCAACGCGAATACTTTGAAAATCAACTTAATTATTGAATCAAATATTAAATATTTATCACGATATGTTTCGATTGTGCGTTCGTAATTTGTAGTGCACAAATCTCTTTTCCGATAATAATAAATGAAAATGTTGCGTGCTAAGACCTAGTAATCATTATTTGCATTTTTAATGCTAATCATATAAAATCGTAATGTAGAGAGAGAATGAGAGGGGGAGAGAGAGAGAAAGAGAGAGAGAGAGAGAGAGAGAGAGAGAGAGAGAGAGAGAGAGAGAGAGAGAGAGATCCAATAACTTGTATATGTATATAATAGCAAAAGTAATAACTCGATACGTCGCATTTAAGAATACGTAATAAATATAATACGTATTATAAATGCAACATATCGAATTATCGTTTTTGTTATTACGTATATATTTAAGAATGTATAATAAGATGCTAGTCTCCTTTTCTTTTATTATCGACTCGTGATGACCTTCTGATATGGATGAAACTTTTAATTGCGGATGATTATAGTCGCAGATAAAGGTAGCCATTGATAGCTGATGCTATTGATTGAGTAAACAAAAATTTAATTAAAAATGCGTGATTAAATCTTATCATGACAGTTTTTGCAACGACTTTATTATATATTATTAATAAAGACCACCGTTCGAAGAAATGAATATCGTGACTCGAGGTATTCGATCTCGATACATGTCATTCAGCAATATATCGGTGGTAAGCCGGAGAAAGAATTTGTGTATAATGAATGGGAACGCAACAGTTGGACTGTGCATCGATATTGTCTAGCGATAGGCGAGACAAATAATAATATATATCTCTTATAGTTGCCTTAGAAAAAGTAGATAGGCTTAAATTTTTCCAAGAGAATAACTATGTCATTTAAATTGTGAAAAGTCGTGAGTAATAAAATAATTTCAATTTTAATTAACTTTTTTTCAACTTTGGCCATCACAAATAATATGTATAAATAGACATATAAATGCTGCTCTTGAATTGTAACAATTGACGCACTTGATTAAGTAGATATCTATACTATAAATTTTCATTTCAGTGATTACGATGCAAGCGGAGAAGAGTGATGCCGACACTGAGAAAAACGAGACCCTCAATGATGTAACAACCTCGGTTGCGAACGAGATAACAAATTTGAAGATAGAAGATGGGTCAACGAGTTCGACACCGAGTAGTCCTGGTAGCACTGAACCAGGTAGCTTTTTAGCGAGCTTTAAAGCATTTTCGAAATTCGGTGATCCAAAGAGCGATGGCAAACTGATTACGTTAAGTCAAAGTGACAAATGGATGAAGCAAGCGAAAGTGATCGATGGAAAGAAAATTACTACTACCGACACGGGAATTTACTTCAAAAAGCACAAGTACATCTCTTAAACAAATGTTCTTCATGTCTGTTATCTTGATAAACTGCCTGGGAAAGTTATTCTTACATTTTTTTTTCCTTTTTATTGCAGATCCACAAAGCTCGGTATCGAGCAGTACAAAACGTTTCTTGAAGAATTGACTAAAAGTAAAAAAGTAGAATTAGCGGAAATAAAGAAGAAGATGGCTAATTGTGGACCACCTGGGTTTACTGGGGGTGCTAGTGGAGTACGTATATTATACTAAATTTATTTATTTAATTTTTGTATTCTCTCCTTCTCTTTCTAGTATCTCAAAATGTAATAAATTTTGCTACATAAGCCTTTACTACAATTAGTTTTTTCTTTATTTGTACAAATTCATCTTCCTTTTAACCGTTGACTTAATCGCGATTTATATTATCATACAATGTATATCTCATCGTGTGATTTATCGCGATGTACATAATCAACAGCGCTTTTTCATTGCAATTTGTACGCATAATCTCTGATTTGCTTATTTTGATCTACAGGTTGGAAAAGCAGCGTCGACAGTTGATAGACTTACCGATGTCAGCAAATATACGGGTTCTCACAAGCAACGTTTCGATGAGACAGGAAAAGGTAAAGGCTTAGCAGGTCGAAAGGATATACCAGACACTTCCGGATACGTCCAAGGCTACCAAAATAAAGATACGTATAAAGGCCAGTAGTACTCATCTGATTGCAATAATAAATATCTTTAAAATCATGCTGTTAAAGTCGTGTCTGAGCGCAGTATGCACATTCAAATAGTCGCTACTCATTGTTAGCGAACTGAATTTCTTTACTGTTTCATCAGCGATCTGACAGATGTATCTTGAATATCAATTTCACGAAATTTCATCTTTGAAATGTATACTAAGATAGCAATATCGTAATTAAGAACTTTTGGCAAAATAATATGTTTGATATTATGCGGCAATCCTTTTGAAACTTTTGCTCTTGATGTTAACATTGCATTTTTCGCATATAAATTTTTAAAGGCCTGAAAAAAATATACTTTCCCTAAATATTATTCTTTTCTTAAATCAGTCTATTTATATTTTGTAATACGATTGTGTGTTTTTATAGATATTTCCATTGTTATTTGTTCGATTTAATTATCACTATATAATATCAATATTATTAGCTTATAGCTTTTTATTTGTTTATTTCATTAATAAAATCTTTTTTTGAGAGAGTAGCAATTATATAGTATAACTATATAAGTACGAAGTCTTAAGTCCACATATATACTATACATATACAGTATCATACTATATGTATATAGCATATGTTACATAATCTCTGTTGCATAATTTATTAAGAATGAATTTCCTGAAGTTTATATGATTAAAAGAAATAGATACTATAAATTTCATTACAAAGCATTACAACTGTGTATAAAAACAAAATTATATCTTATATTTTATATTCTGCAAAAACTCTTTCTCTTTTGAATTGTTAATTTTTGAGGTAAAATAATGCACATAATTTTTGTGTATATATATATATATATATATATATATATATATAACATAAATCTCTTTAGCTGAAAAATTATATACTTAATTTTCAAACTCTTTGTAATTCTTTGTACTGCAAGTTATACTTTGTACTGCCTGGTTTATTTGTGTAAAGAATATGTTTGTCTTTTAAAAAGATATAATAAATTATATAAAAATTCTTTCACGCAAAATAATATTGAAACTGTTGATATCGTAAAAGTGATAGATAAAAATATTCCATATGTAATTGGATAAATTATTTTCTACTATGTACATGACAAATATATATTTTTTCTGTATTTTAAATACATTAATTAAGTGCATAAAAATAAAAAAAGTAACATTTCCTATATCATTTATAAACAGTATTACTCCTACATGGAGTGTATATATATATATATATGGTGTTAAGTTTTGTGTTATTATTTTTAAGTGATACATATATTAAACATAATATCTAGGGTAAACTTGGATAAGACCATTTTTAAAATGCAAAAAACATACTTTAATTTTTGTTATTTTTAATAGTGTTATATCCACCATACAGAAAAGGTAATAAAAAATATAATATTATTGAAGATAACAACAATTAAAATTAATGTTTTTTGCATTTTAATGATAACCATCTTATCCAAGTTTACCTATACTTAATTGAATGAAGTGTACTTACTGTAACTTTAATCATTAATCAGCGCATTCGCGTCTGACACTTGAGACCAAATTTTATATTTAGATCTTACTCTAATGTCAATGCATAATTCGATTGTATTTGTATTATTATCGTCATACTGCACTTTGAGTTATTAATCATTTTCGATTTATAAGATCTACTTTGAAGTTAATTTGTAATAATCATAATAATAAATAATAACAGTAACAACAACAATAATAATAATAATAATAATAATGATGATGATGATAATAATTTTGTAATAATAATCTGTATTAGATGACGTTTTTTAATTTTATATTGCTTATATTATTTTACTGTCTTAAGAATGTAATATCGCAGAAAAGAAAGGGTGGTTTTCAATACGTACGTGCGCGTTTAACTATAACTCGAGTGTCTACTATATAAAACTCTGTAATTAATCAAATCATTGTCTTATCAAGATATCGAAAAGTAAAAATCCATCTTAATAAAAAGTTAGTTTATTTTGACACCATTGTTTGTTACGGAGTCAATAACATTTAACATGTAATTGTGTCCATAATTATGTTTAGAACGTTCATAAATGTTTATGCGGACCTATGTGCTATTCGAGCAAATTCCTTAAATATGAGCATTATGTATTTCGTAAATTATAATCTTATGTAAAGAATATTTTTTCGAGTGTAAAAGCACAATTCGATACTTTGATCACTACATATGTACAAGCTAGCTAATTCTCGTTAGTTTTCTCTCTCTCTCTCTCTCTCTCTCTCTCTCTCTCTCTCTCTCTCTACACATACACACACACACAAAATTAGTTAAGAATATTATTTATTTTTTAATGTTGAAATGTTATTTATTTTTCTAATAACTGTAACATTTAAATATTTAAAGATAACGTCTAACGGGAATATAAGGAAAAATTGATTTTAAATTGATTAAATATGTACCTATTCTGTTAATTCGGTTATCATCATTTCATGTTTGGCAAGATGCAAGCATAAATATTGTTGCGAGATTAAATATCAAAAAGAAAATCCTTTTCTTGTCTTATAAAGTCGAACTTGATTTTTGTCTGGAGTGAAAATTTCTGTGATTATTCTATATACGAAAAATATGAAAAATGTTTAATGTATTTGATTCATAATTATACGTTTAATACATTAATGAATATATGTATACATACATATACATATATATGTATATATATATGCGTATTGTGCTATGATTCCATTTATAAAAATATAAAATACTATGTGATAAGTCACAATTAAATAGTTTAAGTTAGACTGATCTAAAACCAATTACTATAATATTCTGGAATAATAAAAGATCACATGTATATACGTTTGTATAAATGTATACATACATATATACATACATATAAATATATAAGATATATAAAAAAAATCATCACGCTCACGTGTATACCAAAACATTGCAAAACATCAATAATTAAAAAGCGAGTTATAAATATTTATTAATATCACGCGAATCATTTAATAATTATATTCTTAACATTGCTCATCTTTTTTTAGTATCAGCATCTCGAATTTCGATTGTTAAACTACTTTAGGAAGATTCAAACTTGAATAAAGTTTGTTGCCGTTTTCTAAATCCGTCCTTCGTGTCATGAATTCATGATAATATTATCGTAAATTATTATTATTATTATGTGTAAATTGAATAGGTATAATTTATTTGACTGCTCTCTAATCAAATATCATTACAATTCAGTAAGAGTATTCACTGATGCCCGAAGACGAGATTTAGCGATATAATCATCATGTTCTTTGTTGGTCCCAGCATCATTCATTCGACAGACAATCTCATCTTTCAAAGTTACAAGCACTCTACGATCTTGTTTGTTGTGAACTGGTGCGTTTTGAAGAGCTTCCTGAACATCCAATAGAGCATCTTCGAACATGCTTAGATCTACGCGCGCTTTAGCTCTAGCGTAGAACGCTTCATAAGAAATGGGTCGGATGCTAAGAGCTTCGTTAGCGAGTTCAATAGCTTCGGTACATTCCTGTTAAAGAATCACGTTATTGTTCATAAAAGTAATATAAATTTGTCATTGTGAACAATTAGGCCTATATATAAACATCTAAAAAACTATAATAGATTACTAACGTTCATCTTGCGTTTGCATCGGCTCAGATTTAGAAGAAAGTTCATATGAAGTTGTGTAAAAGTTTGAAGCATCATATGACTTTGCTCCTGTCCTTGGCAATCTTCTTCTGGCGAAGTTGGAAATTTTCTAAGAGCATATGCATATCGATGCGATGCTTCTTTCAGTCTATTCTTTCGATATAAAACATTGCCATCTTCCAAAAGTTTATTTAGTAGAATTATTAAGACGTCTGGTTTTCCTGCTGCCATGGCCCATGTAGCGGGACCGAGTTTAGCACCACGACGTAAGAAACATTGAACTACTGGTATATTGCGACATCCGATTGCTCGGTCTAGAGGTCGCATACCGTGGAGATCAACATGTTCCACCGCGGCTCCCTTTTCAAGTAACAGTTGTACTAGCTTTGGATTACCCTGTATATATTTTGATAAACATTAGATCGCGAAAGTAATACACGATAACATGGGTTGTGTATACGAGAGAAAGATTTACCTGGAATGCAGCTAAATCCAAAGGAGTTCTACCAGAGTTGTCACTTGTATTGATATCAGAACCGCGATCGAGCAACATTTGTACGGCAGTTATGCGTCCCCTGACGCAAGCCCAACTGAGAGCGGTGAGTCCCTCTTTGTCTTTTGTTTTTAAAATTGATCCTTTATCGAGGAATAGCTCAAGTAGATTAATGTGACCTTCGCATGCGGCCAACATTAAAGCAGTACGACCAGCGAGATCACGTTGTTCTAGAAGTGATATAGTTTCGTCCGATACTGTGTCCATACTGCTGGACAAATTTCCTATGAAATAATGTAACAATCACATAACTGTTCTTATACATAATTGACATAATCGAATCCATAATAATTTGAAAATGATCTCAAGTTATATTTAAAAAGAGAAAAACAAACCTTGCAAAAGTCGTTCAGCGGTACCCCAATGTCCCTCTTTGGCGGCGAGCATAAGAGGAGAAAGACCTTTCGTGTTTACAACTAGAGGATTGGCACCGCGAGCTAAAAGCGCAGAAACCGTCGCAGTCGAACCGTTTGCAGCGGAAATCGTTAGAGCGGTCTCGCCTATCAATGTATCAGGACGATCTATGATCACTTCTGCCATATCTAAAAGATACTCTACAACCGCTTCATGACCTTGTGACGCAGCCGCGACAACAGCTTGTTGGGCGGCTTCTTCTCTATTTATTTCTAAAACGCCACTTTCTGCTTTACTTTCACTGGTTGGTATCCAATCGCAAGCAAGAAGATATCCAACCACGGATAATCTTCCGTGTCTTGCCGCATGCACCAGAGAACATTGGCCAGCCATATCTACATGTCCTAATGAGGCTCCAGCGGCGGCCAATCTGTTAAGTACAGATATAACAATAAATAAATAATCACATTGTTCAATATATATGTATATATACGTTATTTGAGCAATATATTATGTACAAGATATTGATATACCTTCTAACAACGTCACAATGTCCCCGGGCAGCTGCCAGCGATAGCGCGGTACAACCTTGGCTGTTGGTCAATTCGACGTCGGCACCAAACTCAAGGAGAAGAGACACCATCTCGACGGAACCTTCATGCGCGTACA